GTGATTTAATTAATGTACAAGTACACTGACTACTTCTGTTGCACTACTGCCACATCTCCACTTTCTGGGCAGATGGCAAGCAGCAGTCAGTGAAGCCAGTCAGAGCTTTTTAAAATAACTAATACATTGAATTTGATGTTGGTGTTTTCCACATCATGAAGTATGTATGAAGTTTTGTTAAATTTAGTTACAATTGCCATTGCTTACCATGTCAGTGATATAACAAAATTCTTGTGTACTGGAACAGTATGAAGCCATTAACACATTCAGGATCAGTGGTTGCTCATGGTGTCGTAGAAGCATTTAAGTGCCTGATGCTGGATGTACTGAAAGTGAAAAGTTGAATTTTGAACATTTTTATTTTATTCTTAATAACTCCTTTTAAATATTGCTTCTGTCCCCAGATTCCTTCTGGTAATGTGGAGCATGCAGATCTAGTTGGACTACTTTCAGAGCAGCAACAACGCTCTCCAGTATTTTCTATTGGTGCAGAGGATGTTTTGGCTGATGCAGAAAAGCCTGTCAAGACAGAAGATGCAAGCAGAATTGATTTAGACGAAGCAATGGATGAAGTAGCACAAACATTTAGTGGGTTTGATATTGAGGGTATGACACTGGCTGACAGAGAGGAGATTAAACTGCAGATGCAGCAGCCATCTGTTCAGCAGTTCACTGGAAGTCAGGCTGTACTGGAGGAGGCAATTTCAGTAATGGTAGCGTCACAGGCCCCCGTCCAAGTTGGAACCACTCAGACAGATGCACGAGTTGAGTACTTCCCTGTTCCATCAAGTGGTTCTCAGATTCCAGCTTTACAGGTGATTACTCAGTTTAATAATGCCTTGTTTTTAAGAGAGTGAAAAGTGAAGCTTTGTCCATTTGTTTATTTGTTATAGTTGGGGAACTGCTGAATGAATTCTTATGAAATTTGATATTGGGGAGTTTTACTAAAATTTGTTTTTTGTTCATGTGTTTAACAAGTTTAATACATTGACGTAGCTTAAAGAAAAGTCTAAGTGTGTACCACTCCTTCCTCCGCAGTTACAACAAATTTCTCTTTTCATGTGGAGTATTTCCATCCATTCGGAACTATTGAACTGTATTTGTCTTTCGATCGATTCCTGTATCAAAGGTTCTGTATTTCACTGTTTTTTCTCCAACTAAATATTCTTAACTTATGTTTATCTTAAGGCAAGAGGTGAGACCACTTGGAAGATGTAGATGCAGATGGGAGGATAATATAACACCCCATGAACTATTTATTTTGTATCTTTGCAGTTCATTATTCGTGATGATCCAGTACTGCAAAACCAGTGTAGTTAAGAATGCATAGTCATATTATCCAAAATTTATATATGTATTTATTGTGTCACGTCTGCACTTCTAATAAATTGTATTTAAATATACGTTTTACTATGTAGCTTGCATGTTTTGTGATATACTTGAACTGTATTCAAAATTTAATATATTTGAAGTTTTGCCATTCATTGTAGTGTCTTATGGCTAAAATTTATTGATTGGCTTAGTGTAATTTGTGGCTTCCTTTTTATATTTGACCCCGAAGAAGGGGGCAGCAAATTTTTCTGAACGATCTGTAATAGTCGGTATTTAAGACACAATGCACTACCCAGGAGAATACTGCAGTGCATTGAAGAATCAAATCAAGGACAGTGAATTTGAACATTTAAACTAAGGAGGAAACTGAACACAAAGATTGTTGGGGTGGTTACAAGAGAATTTAATACTAAATTTCAGAAAGCCATTTCTATTAATAGGAAATGAGGATTTATAGAGGCCAGTGTTTGGCTCTTGCTTTAGGATCCTGCATCTTGTGTGAATCCACCAAGAATAATGCAGAAATTCTCCTTCAGGCCAAGAACAAAATTATTCTGTTACCACAGCATTAGGTAGATTATATCATATGCGAATGTTGACAGGTTCAGCATGGATCCAGCCTTCATCTGCAGTATCCACAGTACCACTTATCTCCTGGTCTCCAAGTTACTGGAGGAGGGTCTCTTGAAGTTGCTGGTGGGATTCAGATCACCAATGGTGGTGGAACGCCCCTTCAGACAACTCAGATTCTTAATCCACAGCTGCAGTCTGTTCCAGGGACAGCTTTCCCATCTCAACTGTTACTGCAGACACCCCGGCTTGGTGAGTAGGCTTGTTTTTATGTGTTGTTTGAGTTCTGAATGTGATTGCCACAGTGTGTGAATTATGTACATTTGCAGTGCTGTTCTTTAGGTTTGAATATGGTGTTCTCTCTTGTAAGAAAAAAGAAAGATTGGAGTACAAGTGACAAAATCCTTGATGTCTCAAAATGGATTTTAAAATCATTATTGCTGACAAGACTTCATGACTTCAACTTTGTACATGAAATTTTTGCCAGATCAATGTTGAAGGGGAGTGAGGTGTGAATCATAAGGATGACAAAACTAGTATCAGCTGAAATACAATTCATGAGACATTTTACCAGTACTGGGTAGTATACAAAACTATTCAAGAACTATTGATGAATATGTTGAGAAGAGTTTTGATATATAATTTACTAAAACAGTGGGAAGGAAATGCATATATTTGACCCCGAAGAAGGGGGCAGCAAATTTTTCTGAACGATCTGTAATAGTCGGTATTTAAGACACAATGCACTACCCAGGAGAATACTGCAGTGCATTGAAGAATCAAATCAAGGACAGTGAATTTGAACATTTAAACTAAGGAGGAAACTGAACACAAAGATTGTTGGGGTGGTTACAAGAGAATTTAATACTAAATTTCAGAAAGCCATTTCTATTAATAGGAAATGAGGATTTATAGAGGCCAGTGTTTGGCTCTTGCTTTAGGATCCTGCATCTTGTGTGAATCCACCAAGAATAATGCAGAAATTCTCCTTCAGGCCAAGAACAAAATTATTCTGTTACCACAGCATTAGGTAGATTATATCATATGCGAATGTTGACAGGTTCAGCATGGATCCAGCCTTCATCTGCAGTATCCACAGTACCACTTATCTCCTGGTCTCCAAGTTACTGGAGGAGGGTCTCTTGAAGTTGCTGGTGGGATTCAGATCACCAATGGTGGTGGAACGCCCCTTCAGACAACTCAGATTCTTAATCCACAGCTGCAGTCTGTTCCAGGGACAGCTTTCCCATCTCAACTGTTACTGCAGACACCCCGGCTTGGTGAGTAGGCTTGTTTTTATGTGTTGTTTGAGTTCTGAATGTGATTGCCACAGTGTGTGAATTATGTACATTTGCAGTGCTGTTCTTTAGGTTTGAATATGGTGTTCTCTCTTGTAAGAAAAAAGAAAGATTGGAGTACAAGTGACAAAATCCTTGATGTCTCAAAATGGATTTTAAAATCATTATTGCTGACAAGACTTCATGACTTCAACTTTGTACATGAAATTTTTGCCAGATCAATGTTGAAGGGGAGTGAGGTGTGAATCATAAGGATGACAAAACTAGTATCAGCTGAAATACAATTCATGAGACATTTTACCAGTACTGGGTAGTATACAAAACTATTCAAGAACTATTGATGAATATGTTGAGAAGAGTTTTGATATATAATTTACTAAAACAGTGGGAAGGAAATGCATAGGAGGACTAACTAACTAACTAGATGGCTTACCAAACCTGAAGGCTCATCACTGAACTAACCAAAGCCCTCCACCGGACCCTTTCCTGGGCCAACAAAATCCAGTCTCTTTCAACTCCTATCTCCCATAGGTCCCGCCTGACATTATCCTCCCATCTACGTCTAGGTCTCCCCAGCGGTCTCTTCCCCTCAGGCTTCCCAACCAATACCCGGTGCACACCTCTTGCCCCATCCATGCGAGCCACATGCCCCGCCCATCTCATTCTTCTCAACTTAATTACCCTGACAATATTGGGGGAGGAGTACAGATTTTTAAGCTGATCATTATGCAGTTTTCTCCATGCCTGATCGTCTTCACTCCTAGGCCCAAATATCCTCCTCAACACCCTATTCTCAAACACCTGCAATCTTTGTTCCTCCCCCTGAGTGAGAGACCATGTTTCACACCCAAACAAAACAACAGGCAAAATTATTGTTTTGTATACTTCAATTTTCAGGTTCTTAGAAATCAGACGGGAAGACAAAATATTCTGAACCGAGAAGTAGCAAGCATTTCCGGAATTTAGTCTCCTCCTAATTTCCTCATGAGTATCATATTGATTTGTTATTGTTGTTCCCAAATATTTGAACTCTGTAACACGATCAAAGGATTTATTAGCCACCCTAAGATAATTCTGCCCGCCTGTCTGCTGACGACGATGTACTTAGTTTTTTCTGAATTTACTTCTAGCCCCACCTGTCTACTAGCCTCTAGTAAAATTTCTGAGTTGTTCTTTCTTGTATTTATATCGTCCCCTAATAAATTAACTTCATCAGCATATGCCAATAGCTGATGTGTCATATTCAATTGCAAACCCTCCTGCCTATCGTGGACTTTCCTGATGGCATATTCTAGTGCCAAGTTAAAGAGCAAGGGAGACAAAGAATCTCCTTGTTTTAGACCGTTCTTGATGAAGAATGACTCAGATACATATTTACCTACTCGAATTTTGCTACAAGTTTCATTTAAGCGCACATTTATTAGACTCAGTAGCTTCTTTGGTATACCAAATTCAATAAGAATATTATATAACACTTTTCTCTTCACAGAGTCATAGGCTTTTTTGAAATCTATAAATAATTGATGCACGGTCTCACTGAACTCCCATTTTTTCTCTAGTATCTGACGAATGCAAAAGATCTGATCAATTGTTTATCTGTTTCGTCTGAACCTACACTGATGATCCCGAATAGGAGGACATCAGGGAAAATTAAAGATTCTGTTTTGAAATAAACATAACAGACCAACCTTACATCATTCAGGGAATAGTGCATTTTACTGAAGACAGGGAATTCCTTGCACAGAGCTGCAGTATTTTTCATATATCCCAGTTTATTGCTGTGCTTTTAAGTTTGAATTACAGTGAGGTTAGTAATGCCATACTCTGGTGCATTTACTGATTTTTACCATATTTCATCAAATAATTCTGCCACAGTACCCTTCATTTACTCTCCATGTATTTCACATTTGTGTATGAACAGCTGCATTGACAAGAGATGCACTTCCATTTGAGTTACAAAAATTTGAATTTATTGAAGACAAAAGTAATGTAGCTTTATATAAGAGCTGGGTTTTACAAAAGCTGTATTTTACCATTTTGTGTTCTGCAGATGTATAGTGTTTTTGAGTGTACTGGTGAATGTCAGCATTTTGTTTGCACTCACACATTGCTTAATAAATGGGCAAAAATTGCTGTAACTAGCTGGAGACATGAATTGTTGGAAAACATGCTGTCTCTAATTTTTGTATATGTAAGCATTTCTGGGTATAGACTAAAGAATAAGTTTGTTAGGCTGTCTTAAAACTTCTCAGAATTTGTGATTTTTAATATAGGGGCATTGTTTAGAAGTTGCATCACTTACCTTCTGTTACAAATAAACACAGACAACTACATTTTTCAACACATTTTGCCCATTTACATTTGTAGTGTGCTCTTTACTAATTGAATAACTATGCATGGGAGATGTTAATTCAGATTAACATATTTGTCAAAACAGTTTAGGAATGGGATTTAGTAATTTTGTGGTGAAGTAGTTGAATGCAACTTGCAGCATTTTCTGGTCAAGCATTACCGCCATCCGAGCCGACGCATGCGACCATAGCATCTCCAAGTACCACGGCGCAGTATGTGCAGCCTTCGTGCATGAACCATCAAGTTCAAGTGGCAACACAGACTACGACAGACAAGAAAGGGGCGGCAACATCGTCGACAGGATCTGGCCCTGGGGCAGGAGCAGGTTCAGTAGGGAAGGGGAAGAAAAATCGCTACCAGTTCCAGCAACGCCAGTCACAAAATCAACAACAAGTTCAACAAAATGCTGCAACTTTTGGCTCACAAAACATAGCCCAGCAAAACTACCAGATAGATCCTAACACAGGTTGGTATCTTCAAGAACTGGAATGCAAAGCTGTTTTCTTTGATAATGCATGTGTATGGCCAGTAATTATAATATACTACTTCACTAAATTGTTCAGTACTAAATTTACAGAGTATAAGATTTTAAGTCTTTGATTGCTGTGTTCATAATTATTAAAAACCTTAAGAGATGTATACATAGGAATATTTTTAAATATATTGTTTATTATATGGTTATTACAGCTTAAAGAAGTGACTGAAGAGTGTTGTCTCTTCAGGTTGATAGTGGCCACTTGAATAAAGCTAGCTTTCATCACAGAATTGCTTCAAACAACATTTAAGCAAATGACATAGTACAAAATGGTCAAGGCTTGTGGCTGATGTGTGTGGCATGTAAACATGTAACCAAGTTTCCGTAGTCATATGTTAAATAAGTTATGCAGATGTAAATGAACATATAATTATTGTACAGATAACTTTATGTAATAGTAGATTTAATTCTGGTAGTCAATACATGGAGCACTTTGTCATCAATATTATGAATCTGTGAGTGATTCTGTTTACAAATAATTGTTTAGGTTGGAGACATGATCCAGATTCTTTAAGAATTAAATTGAATGCTTTCTGATTGATTGTATCTTTGCTCAAGAATGTAGACATGGTCAGGTTTTGCTTCAGAAGGACTGAAGAATGTATTTGTTGATCATGAACTTTGAAGATTTGATTTTTATTCAGAATGTTCAAGTCTCATCTGGCCTTCAGTTAGCCTGCTAAAGTTGTCTTGTGATTTTTCTGTTCTCGTAGGATCATGCCGTGAAAGCCATGACTACTTCCTCCCCCAGCCTTTCCAGTTTGCAGGGCTTCCTCATGCCTTAACTCTGAATAACATTTGTGATTTAGCTTATTAAGAAACTACAGATCAGCACACTTTTTTAAAGTTTCTTCTATGAATTTCAAAATAGCGTGAGAACTAAGTCCAAAACAGGATTGAAATTAGGTCTGGAGTCAATAGTTGGTATGGTATAATATGCCTTGAGGAATTCATGAGAATACATAATGATTAATGTTAGAAATGTTGTGTCCAGGTGTTGGGCAGTATCCTTCGAGCAGCCCACACTCAGGCACGCAATGCCTGCAAGCTCCGTTCTCCTGTATGGATGTGGACTCTGAGACTGACAGCAACCATGACACTGCCCTCACATTGGCTTGTGCTGGAGGTCATGAGGAATTGGTAGAACTGCTGCTGTCTCGAGGTGCTGACATTGGTAAGCATTGCTGTATTTATTTATTTATTGTTGGGCTATTTTGACAAATTCATTAATTGCTACAATACTGTAAAAAATACTTCAACCTGCATAATTTTAATTTTACTGCTATTCAAATCCTCACACATTATATTCACATGCTTATAGTTTTTGGTTTTATCAAATTGTGACCTTCCAGAACAGATCTGGTATTTGGTACTGCATAACTAATTACCAAGTATAACCTGAAGGTTAATTGTACCATAAAGTCATCTTCTGTGAAATGTGGAAAATTCTAAAAGAAGAAGAAAATGTGTACTGTGAGCTAGAAATGTATTGCATCATGCAAGGAAAATAAAATAGATCACAACAGTAAGTTGATTTGTTGTTTTCATTTCAGAACACCGTGATAAGAAGGGTTTCACTCCACTAATTCTAGCAGCTACAGCAGGCCATGAAAAAGTGGTAGAAATTCTCCTAACACATGGGGCTGATATCGAAGCTCAGTCAGAAAGAACTAAAGACACACCCCTGTCCTTGGCATGCTCAGGTGGCCGATATGAGGTAAGTTCAGCTTGTGGAACAGAATACATGTTGGTTTATGACAGCATTTATAAAATTTGCATAACCCATAAGAAAATTTTTTTTATGTCTTGAAAGTGTCTTTTTTGGCAGGGGTAAAATGGCTGCAGACTAGTTGGCATTTGAAGGTTTCTGTTGAAGGTGCGTTGCCTTGAGTCAAATTGTCCTTTTGGGCTTTGTCTATTGTCTCCATGTTACAAAATGTCAGCATTTTATAAGTTGGATTCTAATTGTGTCATCAGGTGAAAATGACAGAGAAAACCTTTCTGTTGGGCCCCTTGGTTGAGCTGGTCTCAAACCTGGATGGCAACAGCATTAAAATGCCAGTTGCCCAAAAGAGAGGTTTCTCTGCTCTTTTCTACTTGATGACATAAAATCTAGCTTCTGAAACATTGTAATTGTATAACATTTAGACGAAGTTCAAAAGAACACTTTAACACTTACTGGAAACTGTTGCTACGAATGCATGTGGTGCCTAGACACAGTGGTAACTCTTAACTTTCATTTTAATTTAATTTAAGTTATGAACTTTTGGGTTGTATAAAAGGAGGAAGTTTTTTCATGAACTGAATAATGTCAGCTGCTGAAAGGAGATTCTGTTGGAGTGAGTTGTCTATCCCTCAGTTACTTGATTGGTTAGGTTCCGTTGGGAACAATTCTTGTGACAACAACTATTACAGTAAACAGCTTGTGGCAGTATGAATTCATTTGTTTCTGTTTTGTCAGGTTGTGGAGTTGCTGTTGACACGAGGAGCAAATAAGGAACATCGCAATGTGTCCGATTATACTCCTCTTAGTCTGGCTGCTTCAGGTGGATATGTAAACATTATAAAACTTTTGTTAGCACATGGAGCTGAGATCAACTCAAGAACAGGCAGCAAACTTGGCATTTCACCCCTCATGTTGGCAGCAATGAATGGCCATACAGGTAAGTTCACTTCTGAAGATTTCTGTCTTCTGGGTTGTTGCGCTGTGTAGTCTGGTCGATGTTTACCAACTTTTCAGAGGTCATACTGCCTCCGTCAGCAGGGCGATGAAGGTTAACGTCGACCAGACTACACAGAGCAACAACCCAGAAGACAGAAATATTCATACTCACTGCTGTGAAAACCTCAAATCTTACAAGTTCACTTCTATGTTCTATCATAAAAAAGTTTGGAGGTGCGTGACTTGCAAAGCAAGGCCTGTTGCCAGACTTTTCTTCAACCTAGCTGAAGATACTGTTAAAATACTGTGGGATATTAAACTTTAATAGTTTTGCAACTTCTGGAGTATGCTCTCCATAGAGATTCTTTACAAGCTGAAGTTAGGCAGTAAGGGTCTTCTATATATTCTTTGGGTTTAACTGCTAGTCATGTATTGCCATCTGATCTCTGTTGTAATGTTCTGTTAATTGTATTCTTGATTATTAATTGCTTGCGAGAATACTTTCAGGAAGAAGAATTGTGTTGATGCTGGAATCACATGTGCAAGTTTTTTGAGTCCTGATGTTGGCATATTTTTAATGGATATTTTTCATTTGCAATGAGTTGATGTGTCACATGTTACGCTTGAAGACAATTTTTGACAGCTTTGTACCATGCAAGACAAACAGAAATAGGTGCTTATTCTATGTAAATATCAGTAACATAATAAACTGATTGAGAATTTAACCAATTAGCTACATTAAATTGCAAGGTTTGAAGTATATTAAACTCTACTTCCACGGTCCTGTATGCCATATGAGCTGGGAGCCCAATTGTAGGTACAGGTGTTGTTGCGTGGCTGGAGACATCTTTCTTTTGTCCCCAGAATTTCAGCATATCACTTCTACTGGATGTGTGATCTCTGCATTTCAGCTGCTGTGAAGCTGCTGTTGGATATGGGTAGTGATATCAATGCCCAGATAGAAACAAATCGCAACACTGCTCTTACACTCGCTTGTTTCCAAGGAAGGCACGAAGTGGTCAGTCTTCTCCTTGATAGGAAAGCAAATGTAGAACATCGGGCTAAAACTGGTTTGACTCCGCTCATGGAAGCTGCAAGTGGTGGCTATGTAGAGGTGGGAAGAGTGCTGTTGGACAAAGGTGCAGATGTGAATGCCCCTCCTGTTCCATCATCACGAGATACCGCACTTACAATCGCGGCTGACAAAGGTCATTGCCGATTTGTAGAACTCTTGCTGTCCAGGTAGGCATTTGTGGTTAAGAGTGCATTATTTTTACTGAAACTTTATTTGTTGTGATAAGTCTAGACATAAGTAGTAAAGTAATGGGGTTTGGGTTGATGACATGAGGTAAATTCCCATCAGGGGCATGGTTTTTCTTCTTCAATCATTCTGCAATTATCATATTGAGTCATAGCAGGTCTTGTAGCACCTACCACTTGCTCAGTCTCTTGACTGCCATAGAAAGGGTTTAATCGTGTCCTCATGTTTAAATGTGCCTGTCTCATACGGTGTCATTTAGCATTTGGTATAGTTTAATTGATGTCATTGTGATACTTTCACTACTAATATTTAGCTTTGTAATTTACTACTGTATGTTTACAGTTTTTCTCAATCACACTCCACAGTATCCAATTTTAGACTTACAATTTGGGCTTCATTGTAATACATTTTCTATAATAAATATAAGCATTTGACCTTTTAAAGTCACTTTGTCATTTTATTCTTTTTTGTCTGTGTAATTTCCCAGAACATTGTATTGTGCTTACTGAATTTTGTGTTTTTAGCTGAACAATTGTTTGGCATAATGCATAGTTTACTTTTATGTAGCACCCATAACAGAAAATGAGTGTATGCAAATAATAAACGGCTAAGAATTGCACCGAAAGTAATTTATTGACTTTTGTGTCTTGATTTATTGTTTGCAGGGGTGCCCAGGTAGAAGTAAAGAACAAGAAAGGCAACTCTCCTTTGTGGTTAGCAGCAAATGGTGGCCATCTGAATGTGGTTGAACTATTATACAATGCAGGAGCAGACATCGACTCTCAAGATAACAGAAAGGTACTTTTTCTCTCCTCACCCCTCCAAAAAAATGTCAGATACAGGCAAATATATGAAAATACAATTCATTATTATATTCTTATTTATGGTTGGTGACACCATATTTTTGTAGACTTGACTGCAGACATTTTGCACAGCTGGCTGTCTCTGTCTTCAAAACAAAGTTATTGACAGTGGTCTGTCACCAGCATGAATAGTGTTGAGCCATGAGGAATTTCACATTGTAATTGGTGGATGTATGCCCACTTTAGGCCAGTTTTCTGTACAAGATCCTGGGGGGGGGTTGCAAGGTGGATGAAAGAGGCGGTACTTGTGGGTTATCGGGACACATCGCTTTAAAAATAGGTTAGGTTAGGTTAATGTGTGTGGATAAATGACATATACTTGAAAGTTATTATATTTTATTTCAATAAATGACAAATTATTATATTTTATTTGGATATGCATGAGATGTTAATTGTTGTTACTACCTGTCTCCAGAGGCCAAAATTCGCTTATAGTTATTCCAATCTACAATCGTGCTCTGATTTATACCCAACTGATCCTCGCGACAGTAGTGAATGGTAAACGGGAATTCTCGAACCAATTCCCCGTGCACATGTTAACAGTTGTTCTGCAAGAATGTTTACTGCACCTCCATTTCACTCTATCACTGAAATATAGTTTCATAATGTGATTATTCGCACAGTACCTCGCTTTCGGTGGTATTCCTTCATCTTGCAGAAAAGAGACAGAATCTTCCTCAGTGTTGGATAAATTCCAAATTTTTAACATTGTACTGAACAGCAATAAATAACTGAACGAACTAACAGATAACAACAACCGAGTATACGGGTATACTGATACGCATGCACAGTTTTCCGTGCCAATCCAACTCCAGATATTTGACTCCCCCGTTTTGTGTCCAGATAACCCACAAGTACCAAAGAGACTAATCAAGGACACGTGATCAGGATTGAACAGTAATGTACTACAGTGAAACCTCGATGCATCGTTTTCGGCGGGGGTGGGAAATAAAAACGATAGATGCGGGAAAACGATAGATGCGGGAAAGCATTAAAAATTTTAAAAAAAAACAATGTTTCTCTTTCAAAGTTACTTATTTTTACCAAAAAAGTCTTTAATGGACAACTGGTTTGTCGAAACTTTACGTTTTAGACCAAACAGAGCACTTTCCACGTTCAAAATGTTTTCCTCGTCACGTTCACTAATATTAAGCGCATAAAAGAACGACTTCACTTTCGCCAATGCAGGGTGTGCTTCGGCAAAACTCGGCAAAGCTTCGGGCTCGCATTCGTCGTCTTCCTCTTCCTCTTCCTCACCACTCCAACCCCCTTTGCGGACAATAACAGGAAGAATGGAAATACTATTACTGCC